ACTGCTGGAGCCCAGGAGGTTGAGGCTGCAGTGAGCTGTGTTCATGCCACTGCACTCCAGCTTGGGTAACAGGGTGAAACTCTGTCTCAAAAAAAAAAAAAAAAAAAAGCAAAAGTGTCTCTGGGCCGGGCGCGGTGGCTCAAGCCTGTAATCCCAGCACTTTGGGAGGCCGAGACGGGCGGACCACGAGGTCAGGCGATTGAGACCATCCTGGCTAACACGGTGAAACCCCGTCTCTACTAAAAAAATACAAAAAACTAGCTGGGTGAGGTGGCGGGCGCCTGTAGTCCCAGCTACTCGGGAGGCTGAGGCAGGAGAATGGCGTGAACCCGGGAGGCGGAGCTTGCAGTGAGCTAAGATCCGGCCACTGCACCTCAGCCTGGGCAACAGAGCGAGACTCTGCCTCAAAAAAAAAAAAAAAAAAAGTGTCTCTGAATGATTTATTTATCTCTTTCTTACTATTCCATCAGCTTTTTAGTACCATACAATGGAGGATTTGTCATTTTTTTTGTGGTTGTGTAAATTTTCTTCACATATTTTGTTTTATGCATCTGCATGTTTGGAAGTGATGTATCTTTATATTTTTAATTTTTTTTTTTTTTTTTTTTTTTTTTGAGATGGAGTCTCTCTCTGTCGCCCAGGCTGGAGTGTAGTGGTGCAATCTCAACTCAGTGCAACCTCTGCCTCCCAGGTTCAAGTGATTCTTCTGCCTCTGCCTCCCAAGTAGCTGGGATTACAGGTGTCTGTCACCACTCCTGGCTAATTTTTTGGATTTTTAGTACAGACAGGGTGTCACCATGTGGGTCAGACTGGTCTCAAACTCCTGACCTCAAGTGATCTGCCTGCTTTGGCCTCCCAAAAGGCTAGGATTAAGGTGTGAGCCACCATGCCTGGCCTATATTTTTAATTTTATGATGTACTTTTATATATATTTTATTTTATGCATATGCGTGTTTAGTATTGATGTGTCTTCTTGATAAATTGGAATTATATCACTTTTGTGATAACTCTCTCTATGTATATTTTTTGAGATGGAGTCTCACTCTGTTACCCAGATTTCAGTGCAGTGGCATGGTATCAGCTCACTGCAACCTCCATCTCCCGGGTTCAAGAGATTGTCATACCTCAGCCTCCCAAGTAGCTGGGACTATAGACATGCACCATCATGTCTGGCTAATTTTTATATTTTTTATTAGAGACAGGGCTTCCCCATGTTGGCCAGGCTGGTCTTGAACTCCTGACCTCAGGTGATCCAGCTGCCTTTTCCTCCTGAAGTGCTGGGATTACAGGTGTGAGCCACCGCATCTGGACAACTCTCTATTTTTAATGATGCTTTAAAAATTAAAATGTGTTTGTTTTTCTGTTATCACTTGCAAGTGGAGCTTTAAGTCAGTGTGTAATTTTCCATGTTCCCTTTTGCCTGCTTTGGCAATTATGGAAGCAGTGCTTGAGGCGGTAGCTGCTCTGTCAGCTGCCCCTACTCATCGTTCAGGTCTCAGTTTGGAGACCTGTAGCAGATGCTGCTGATGCCCGTCCAAATTTCCTTTATGGACTGGGTCCCAGAATCAAAACACTGGGCAATAGAGAGCCCAACTGATTGGCAAAGGACATGTAGTAAGGATAAGAAATAAATCTTTTTGTTTTAAGCTACTAAGATTTGGGTGCTGCTTGTTATGTAACATAACTTAGCCTATATTGACTAATACAGAAATATTGGGCAAATACTTCAAAAATATTTTCCTTCTTACACAATCATACAAGACCCTGCACATCAAGCTCCCTGATATTATTACAGCCCCATGTGTTCTCAACACTGCCCGTCCCCATCACCTATGTTGCTGTGAATGGTCTTGCTCTCTCTTAGTTCTGGCCATCTGCATAGACTGTTTCTCTCTTTTTTTGAGATGGAGTCTCGCTGTGTCTCCCAGGCTGGAGCGCAGTGGCATGATCTCGGCTCACTGTAACCTCTGCCTCCCGGGTTCAAGTGACACTCCTGTGCCAGCCTCCCAAGTAGCGGGGATTACAGGTGTGTGCCACCATATCCAGCTAATTTTTGTATTTTTCGTAGAGGTGGGGTTTCACCATGTTGGTCAGGCTGGTCACGAACTCCTGACCTCAGATGATCTGCTCGCCTCAGCCTCCCAAACTGCTGGGATTACAGTCATGAACCGCCGCTGTAATAGACTGTTTCTTTAACCTAGAATTCTCTTCCCCTGCTGGTCACCTGACCAACTATTGCTCATCACTCAAGTCAGCTTGGAGGCCAATCCGATAGCAGATGCTGATCATGCTCACCCAACTCCCCTTTGTGGACCGGCGTACTCAGTCCCCAGCTACTGTGAGCGTTGGCTGCTAACAGCTCACAGATGCCCTCTTCTCTTTTTTTTTTTTTTTTTTTTTTTGAGACAGAGTCTTGCTCTGTCGCCCAGGCTGGGGTGCAGTGGCCGGATCTCAGCTCACTGCAAGCTCCGCCTCCCGGGTTTTAGACCATTCTCCTGCCTCAGCCTCCCGAGTAGCTGGGACTACAGGCGCCCGCCACCTCGCCCGGCTAGTTTTTTGTATTTTTTAGTAGAGACGGGGTTTCACCGTGTTAGCCAGGATGGTCTCGATCTCCTGAGCTCGTGATCCGCCCGTCTCGGCCTCCCAAAGTGCTGGGATTACAGGCTTGAGCCACCGCGCCCGGCCTCTTCTCTTTTTTTATGGCCAACTCCCTACTACCTTCCCACAGTACAACTAGTCCTCCCCTCCCATCAGTGGCAGCCTGCAGCCAGTGGCTGGCTGACATGGATGGAAGGTTAAAAGACTGGCCCCCTTGACTCAGGGTGCATCCAATTTTGTGGTGAAATTAATATGTGTGAGTTTCTCTGGAACTAGCAGCCTGATCTGACCTACCCTAGATACATGAGGGAGCCAAGCCAACCTCAGTGGAGCCTGTTCCAGACCAGAAGAACCACACAGCACAGTCATGAACTAAACAGTGGGTTTAAGCTGAAAGTAGTCTCCTTGCTTACCTTTATTCTCTTGCCCTGCACCCTTCCCTCACTCCCTTTCTCCTTAGAGCATCCCCTCCATAAACCACGTGCACAAAAAGCCCTGTCTTTGGCTCTGCAGTAAGACAGAATGCCTGGCTGCCCAGGCCTGGATTGTGAACCCCCCTTGTGCTGCTCTACCACTCTGTACTGTCTCTCACTATGGTGCCCATGAGACTGCACTGACTGTCTATTTACTTATCTCTCCTACTAACTAAACCTTTTCAAGGCATGGGTCATGTTTTTATTATTATTGCTATTGGTAGTATGTCAATACTCTTTTAAAAAGAGACTGAGCGATAGGGTGATTAAGTGGTTATCATTTTAATCTCAATACTTAGCATGTATTAGGTACACCCTAATAGTTGAATGAATTAATGAATGAATCAAAGTTGTCCTGGATTTAACAAAGAGATGCAGGCTACAGGCATTTTTGTAGAGAATATTGGAGCTTAATAACATTTCCATAAAGAATGGATCTTAGAGGCTGGGCATGGTGGCTCGCGCCTGTAATCCCAGGACTTTGGGAGGCTGAGGCAGGCAAATCGTTTGAGGTTAGGAGTTCAAGACCACCTGACTGACACGGTGAAACCCCATCTTACTAAAAAATACAACACAATTAGCTGGGTGTGGTGGAGCATGCCTGTAGTCCCAGCTACTTGAGAGGCTGAGGCAGGAGAATCACTTGAACCCAGGAGGTGGAGGTAGCAGTGAGCCAAGATCACCTCATTGCACTACAGCCTGGGTGACAGAGCAAGACTCCATCTCCAAAAAAAAAAAAGAATGGATCTTAGAGACTTTTAAGGTGCAAAGACCAAGGACTTAAGTGATAGGCTCACTGAAATGAAGAAGGGGAAATTTCAGTGTACAAGAACATGGGGTGGGTGGGGACAGGCGTGGTGGTTCACGCCTGTAATCCCAGCACTTTGGGAGGCCAAGGTGGGCGGATCACGAGGTCAGGAGATGGAGACCATCCTGGCTAACACGGTGAAACCCCGTCTCTACTAAAAATACAAAAAATTAGCCGGTTCTGGTGGCGGGTGTCTGTAGTCCCAGCTCCTCGGGAGGCTGAGGCAGGAGAATGGCGTGAACCGGGAGGCAGAACTTGCAGTGAGCCGAGATCGCGCCACTGCACTCCAGCTTGGGCGACAGAGTGAGACTCCGTCTCAAAAAAAAAAAAAAAAAAAAAAAAAAAAAAAGAACATGGGAGCAGCAAATGGCAAAATTTGGTCACTAAGAGAAAGAGAAACAGTTGGGACCAATGTATTGTTGAAGTGTCCTGCTCAGCGAGGAGGAACTGAAAGTTCAGTTCACATCTGCTGTATGGTATTCACATTCTACATATGTTGTTACTATTCAGATAACATGGGCACTGAGGTTTTATATCAGAGTGAAGAGTTGGCTGCTCTCAAAAGCATTGCTCTATCTGAATTCTTGAGATGGGTGGCTTCTTCCTAGCTATTAAGAGGCAAAATTCTGGTGCCCAGAGTGGAAAGAAAACCAGACAGTTATCTCAGTCTCTTTTCTCTATCCTCCACTTCTATCTCCTGAGCAATCAGAATTCTGTCTTTTACCAGGTTGGCTTCGGCAGAGTTTGCAATGAACTGAGATGAATCTGCAGGGACTTCAGGACAGGACTCTGTAATATGTATTTCAATAATACCTTCCTGTTATCAGCCTATCAGGCAATCACAGAAGCTTTTAATAGAAAGCTAGATAAAACTAGTCCTCCACCTAACAACTGTCTCCAGTCTAGCTCTTTTTTCTCGTAGATATTTAGTACTGCAAAAATCCCATCTAGTGGAAGGCTTTGGCATGGTAAGGTTGGGTTCCAGGTAATCACAATTTTGGAGTACAAAATCATGAAAGACTTATCAAGATCACTGGGGTGGGGGTGGGGTGCTAGCAGCAGCACAGTGACCTCTGGTCCACTACAAATAAACTCTTTGGTGAGTTTCTTGAGTATCTTACCATATTTGTTCTTTGGACTTTGCAAGTGGTTTGTTGATATCTGCCGATCATGGCAGACAGTGGACAGATGAACCCAGTTGCCCACCAGGGAAGTTGTGATGTTCTTAGCATCAGAAGGCCTCAGGTTGATGTCAGTCTGTGGTGCTTCTCTCTCTCATGTCTCCTCAGCCCCTGTTTCACGTCAAGGAAGAGCTCCCCTTCAGAAAAAAACCGAGAGTCATCATTTGCCTGCTCAACTATGAATAAAGTTCCGTGTACGTTCTCTCTGCTCACTTCTTTCAGAGGCACTTCTGGCTCACGAAACTCTTCAGCTAAGTTGTTGGGGAATTTGCTGAGTGTCAAAACATGAATTAAACCAGAAGAGATATGATAGTGGGTTTTGTCTGAGAGGGATGCCCAGCCTTGTGAACAAGCCATCTTCCAGGGTGGGGGATTACTTGCTCCCTGACCTGTGTCCACTGGGGACCCACATATCCTGGGCATTCTGCTCACCAGAGACACACACAAGACTCATGGGTCAATCACCAAAACCTGGGGCCACAGCTTAGACCTGATCTGTCAGGGCTACTAAACCCACCTACTAAAATAGTTAAATGCTGACAACAAGGCTGAAGTATTGTTCTTCTGTGTTGTGAGTTTTCTCAAATACAGTACAAAACTTTCTCCTTGCAGCTCAATCAAGGCAATCTGCATAGTGAGAAGAGAGTGGGATTTGGAGGCAAGAGACTTGGGTCCAAGTTTCAGGCCCCTGATTTTGTGTAAATCACAATTCTTCCGACTTCTTGATTTTCCTAAACTGTAAATTGAGCTGCATGTCACCTGCCCTATTTCTTCAAAAGGTTCTTATAAAGACTGAATGAGATACTGTATGCAAAATAACATATTAAAGCCACTTTATGAATGTTATTATTCTTATTAAGCACCATCAAAGTTGAAGACATGAACCTAGAAACTTCAGAGGACAAAAGATGTGTGAAGATAACCAATTTTTCAGGATACTACAATCTGGTTGGAGATAGCTCTGATCCCTGCATCTGTCCTGCCTCATCTCTGTTCATTCCAACCCCAGCCAGATTGAGGTGCATGTCACGAATTTCTGGAATTCTCCATTGTCTTTCCAGACCCTGGATCTTTGCAGATGCTGCTTCCCTCTGAGAAGCACTTTCTGCTGTACTCACGCCTATCTTTTCTCCTTCTTCTCTTATTCTTCACCTGGCTCAACTCCAGAAAGCCTGCCGTGACCAGTCTCTGCTCCACATCAAGTCTAAGACTGGATTCAGCATGCTGACAGCCCTCCGATCTCATCCCTGTCATTGTCTACCCCTCACAATACTGCATTGTTCATTAATAGATCTGTGTGCTCCCCGAGGGGCAAGAAATGTGTCCCACACAGGTGGCATGGGGTGTAGAGTAAGTATTGAATGAATGTCTATTGGGTAAATGAAAAAACAAAAACAAAACAAAACCCACCTACTAAAATAGTTAAATGCTGAGGGGCTTATCCATCACACTAGAAGGGATATGACCTGAAACCCTGGGGACTCCTCACTGGGCACTGCTTGGGACACTTTCTGATTTCAAAGGTCCCAGAAAAGAGCACAGATGGTCCACGACAGCCAAAGCACTCTGGTAAAAATATCCTATTGCGGCTGGGTGCGGTGGCTCACATCTGTAATCCCAGCAGTTTGGAAGGCCGAGGTGGGTGGATCATGTCAGGAAATCGAAAACATCTTGGCTAACACAGTGAAACCCTGTCTCTACTAAAAAATACAAAAAAATTAGCCAGGCATGCTGGCGGGCACCTGTAGTCCCAGCTACTCAGGAGGCTGAGGCAGGAGAATGGCATGAACCTGGGAGGCGGAGCTTGCAGTGAGCCAAGATCGTGCCACTGCACTCCAGCCTGGGCAACAGAGTGAGACTCTGTCTCAAAAAAAAAAAAGATCCTATTGTTTAGTAAAAATTAAAGAAAGTTGAAGTACATTGGACAGACTGCACCTCTTGATCAGAAATCAAATCATAAGATTTCACCCAAAGATAAGAAACAAAGAAACCACACTGAGCTTTGTGTGCAGTGCCCAGCATCTCATACCTCCATAGACTCTGACTGTTCGGGAGTTCACACAGTGGATTTCCTGCCGGTGTCAGTTCCCCTCAGTTAATATCTGGTGAGACCACCAGGGGCCTGGCAATTTGCAAAAGAGACAAAGGGATCCAATTCACTAAACACAGGCTAAATGAACCACTTAGCCAATGGCCTCCTGTTCCTTACCAGTGGGGCCTTGGACCTCAATTCATGCTTTCTGGGCTTTCAGACCTTTAGTGAAGTGGACAGAAATACACAAATTGGAGTGTGCAACAACACAGCACTGGGTGCACATGTGATGATTTCTTAAAAATGGCCACAAATTCTTTTTTTTTTTTTTTTTTTTTTGAGACGGAGTCTTGCCCTGTCGCCCGACTGGAGTGCAGTGGCCGGATCTCAGCTCACTGCAAGCTCCGCCTCCCGGGTTCCCGCCATTCTCCTGCCTCAGCCTCTCGAGTAGCTGGGACTACAGGCGCCCGCCACCTCGCCCGGCTAGCTTTTGTATTTTTTAGTAGAGACAGGGTTTCACCGTGTTAGCCAGGATGGTCTCGATCTCCTGACCTCGTGATCCGCCCGTCTCGGCCTCCCAAAGTGCTGGGATTACAGGCTTGAGCCACCGCGCCCGGCCAACACAAATTCTTTGTTACTTCTCCCAACAAAGAATGGGGGTCTGTGTTTCCTCCCCTTGAATCTGGGTTATGACTGTTTTGGCCAGTAGAGTACAGCGGACTGATGCTATGTGACTTCTGCCTCTAGGCCTTGAAGGGCCATGCGGCTTCCACCTGCTTCTGTTGCAGTGTTCGCTCTTTGGAAGCTCCCTTCTGGAACACGCCATCAGAACCCAGCTACTGTGTTATAAGAAACCTGAGTCACATGGAAAGATCACTTGTAGAGGCTCTGTTGACTGTCCTAAGTGACCTTAAACTTCAAGTCATCCCGGCCCAAACACCAGGCAAGTGAGGGAAGGAACTGCCAGATGGTTCTGGTACCCAGCAGAAGCCCCAGCGTCACAGAAAAGACAAGCCGTCCTTGCTGGGCTATCCAAATTCCTGATCCATAGAATCATGGGCATAACAAGAGTTGTGCTTCTATGCCATTTAAGCAGACTTACTGGTTTATTATGCAGCAACAGACAACAGCACACACTGCAGCACACAATGATGAGAAATGTCCTGTGGGCAAGGAATTCAATATGCTGGCACTGGAAAGTTGCTTACGTTTGGAGAACAAGCCAACAGAATCTTTAGGAAGCGGAGCACTGAAGAAGTCCACACTGGGGACTTTAAGCCCAAACCCTGGATCTCGAGTCTTTTCGGTAGGCTCACGCTGCCCTCCAGCAGTCTCTGGTTAATGCTGGAGAGGCTTGGTGAATGATGCCCCTTCACCGTTTCTACAGCACCTCTTCCTCCCTGTCGGGTCTGGTCTGTGTCATGTTTTATAATAGACTGTCTCCTTCACCTTTGTGTCCTCAGCTAAGCACAGGGGCTGGTCGGGAGGAGACCCAAATTGTCGAACTGAACACAAAGGGATGCAGGGAAAGGATGGAGCATCCTCGGTGTCATTTCTTCCCTCTTGTCCCCCAGATTTCCAGATGATCAGTTACCTGCTTCTGTGGCAGAATATGATAGGAAAGACTCAAACTAGCATTTAGTAAGCAGCCACTACATGGCAAATGCTATACAAGGTACTTTTATGGTGACCTCATTTAATTTTAAAACCCCACAAGGTGGGCGCCACATTTAGGAGAATAAGAAATTTAGACTTACACGATTCCCTTGCCCGAGACCATGCTGATGGAAAGTGATGGAGCAGGAACGTGACCCTGGGTTTCTCACCCCAAAGCCTGTCCTGTTGTATCTTAGGAGACAGTGCTGCTGGTTTGGAGTTTGGAGGAATTAAGCTGGTGGGAGGCCTGCTCACATGTGGGAAAGCCCCTTGCAGTGCAAGTAGAGCAACTGTCTGGTGAGGAATCAGTTCAGAATCTTCACCGGGCATTTGCAGACAACCAGAAAGCTGCTGAGCATCCACTTCTAACAAAGGTCAGGGCCAGTGGGCTGAAGGGCAAGGGACACCTGGGGAAGTATTTGCTCAGTCAGACCAAGAGCAGGGGCTAGGCCAAAACCCAGAAACCACCTGGCCCCACTGTCTGGACATCAGGGCAACTTTCCTTGCAGCCCATGTGCTGATGGTCCACACTGGCTATGTGTGCCACCACAGACCAGTCAGGATCCCTCAGACTGACTCAAACGGTGATTTCAGAAAATGACTTCTTTTTCATAAAGGAGAGAAATAAAGACCACATGAGATCATTTCCTATTTGTGTCATTTGACAGAAGACATATTTCTTGTTGGGGAAACAATGAAAAAAAACCCCACCTCGGATTAGCACTAAACAATTTCATTCTGAATAAACTGGATTTACTGAGAAACAAAGATAAACAGACTGACAATGACAGATAAAGAAAGTAGGTAGTGTAAGGTGGAGAAGGGAAGAGAGAGAGGACAGGAGAGATGATAAGTCTGCAAATTCTAAGTGTAATTCTTCTTTTGTTTGAGACAGGTCTGGCCCTGCCACCCAGGCTGGAACGCAGTGGTGTGATTTCAGCTCACTGCAACCTCTGCCTCCCGGGCTCAAGCGATCCTCCTACCTCAGCCTCTCGAGTAGCTAGGACTACAGGCATGCACCACCACATCCAGCTAAATTTTGTTTTGTTTGTTTGTTTGTTTTGAGACGGAGTGTCACTCTTGTCACCCAGGCTGGAGTGCAGTGGCGCAATCTTGGCTCCCTGCAGCCTCTGCCTCCCGCTTTCAGGCGATTCCCCTGCCTCGGCCTCCTGAGTAACTGGGATTACAGGTGCCTGCCACCATGCCCGGCTAAGTTTTGTACTTTTTAGTAGAGATGGGGTTTCACCATGTTGGCCAGGCTGGTCTCGAACTCCTGACCTCAGGCGATCCACCTGCCTCAGCCCAAAGTGCTTGGATTGTAGGTGTGAGTCACTGCACCTGGCCTAATTTTAGTATTTTTAGTGGAGATGAGGTCTTGCCATATTGCCCAGCCTAGTCTCGAATTCCTGGGCTCAAGCAATCCACCCACTCGGCCTCCCAAAGTGCTGGGGTTACAGGTCTAAGGGTAATTCTGCCTCTTCTTCATTATTCACTGTCTTCAAAAAAGATATTCTGAAATTGTTTAATCGTTCCTTAAACAGTTCAATATAAATTACTGTATGACTAAACAATCCCACTCATGGGCATCTGTCCAAGGGAAATGAAAACGGATGACTACACAAAGAACTGTATATGGATGTTCATATCAGCAGTCTTCATAATAGTCAAAACTGGAAACCATTCTAATGCCCATCAGCTGGCAAATGGATAAACAAAATATGGTACATTCCTACAACGGCATGCGACTCAGCAACACACAGGAGCACATATTCCTGAACTCGCTGCAACATGGAACAAACCTCATGGTATGCTGAATGAGAGAGATCAGACACAAATGACTGTATATTGTGAGGCCGGGCACGGTGGCTGAAAGATAAATTTCATATAAAAGGTTTAGATAGTAGGTAATAAAGGTACTCCCCTTATTATTTTCCAAAGGTAGCATCCATAGAGAGAGTTACATCTTCAATCAATTCGTGGACAGATCTGAAATAAGGTCATTCAGAGAAATCAGGAATGGCTGAAGGTACATCTTATTTTAGGAAGAACACTGTAGCAGGCAAAATGTGTGCCCATGAGAGGCAGCATAGAGTTGGAAGGGCTGAGTCGAGTCCAGAGTCCAGGTGGCACTATCTATGTATTAAGATTCTGTTTTCCGGCCGGGCGCAGTGGCTCATGCCTGTAATCCCAGCAATTTGGGAGGCCCAGGTGGGCAGATAACCTGAGGTCAGGAGTTTGAGACCAGCCTGGCCAAGACAGCAAAACCCCGTCTCTGCTAAACATACAAAAATTAGCTGGGCATGGTGATGCACGCCTGTAATCCCAGCTACTCCGGAGGCTGAGGCAGGAGAATTGCTTGAACCCGGGAGACGAAGGTTGCAGTGAGCCGAGATCACGTCACTGCTCTCCAGCCTCGGCAACAGAGCGAGATTCTGTTTCAAAAAAAAAAAAAAGATTCTGTTTTCCAAAATCTTCCTGGGTAAGGGGTGGCAGAGTGCTGTAGGTGGGAAAACCCATCCAAATTCCCTCACAT